CATAACATCGTTAGGAATATAGTCTCGTATTTTGCGTGACGGACAGTATCACGCAATGGCAACATGCAAGCTGTACAGCTCGCCCCCTTTTTGTGCCGGTCCTGCCCCCCCCCCTCCCCTAATAGTATGGCAAAATACCAAACATCTGAAGCTTAACCCCAAAAAGTTTAAAGTTCGGCCGTAGGCTGACTATGTTGCTCGACACCTCTGAGAAGTTCAGCCCAGGGTCAAGTTGGGAAGAGCAAGAAGAGTGTCGAACGGGTGTACCAGTAGGAGGATCGAGATTTGACTGCATACTCGAGGACCTAGGAATCGGGCTGCAGGCTGAGGGGCACCTCGGCGGCAGAGCGGCCTATGGAGATCCCGTTGATTCGCTGCAGGCGGTCTCCGTAGCGCACCTGTTCACGCTATGCACCACGGTTTCCCTTGCCGTGTGGCATGCTGACTTGGGGGTACCGTTGCATGCAGTTTCACCACCTCGCCTTACATGTTCTGAACTCTAGAAGCTCACTCAGGCTTCGATGGATTCGGCGTGAGATTTTCGCTTTTTTCTGAAGCCGCAAGAAGTCAATCTGCCCTCACAAGCTCGGCCTGGAGACCTGCGGGCTGGCATTCGTTCCAGCGATCGATGAGGGATCCCTCCACCTTCAGATCTGCTAGGCAGGCACGTGCACAAGAACAACTGGTGGACAACCGAGGTTGCTCGGTCTGCACAGCCAGTTCTGAGCGGTACGCCACCTCATCCACCACTAGTCTGTGCGACCTGCAGCGGGATTTCATGTGATTTTCAGTGAGCCTAACCGGGGCCGGTCCTCACGGGAGAGTTGACCCAAGAGCCTCGCTGGTCCTTGAAACTTGACCCCCGCTGCATGAATCTTGTAGAGTCAACCTGCTATGTCGTAGTTTCTCAAGCATAAAGGCACCCTCATGGCAGTTGAATGAAAAAGAAGGATTCCAGTGCTTGGGCACTCCGCCCTGGCATCCATCATCCTATACCCCACCACGACGACGTGGTATCGAGAACAAAGGAGAACCTGAGTGCCGGTCGACTTGAACATCTGCTTGTGCCATTTGATGCCTGCACCAAACACAGAAAGGTCTTCCAGGAACGGCTCACTTTCGATTACTATCGCGACCGGAGCGAAGGATAACAGGCACCTACTGCAGTGCTACAGACGACGATTTGATGATATGCCCAGTTCGCTTCATGCATGTCACAGCCGGTAAACCGTTCCACTGACTGTCCGTACTAACTGTAAGAGCTTGGCGATGATTTTACGCGATACTCTGGGGGTGGGCATTTCGCAGTCACTGCACCGCGGCGTATGTGGGCCGGAGCAGGGTCGTCTAGCGCAACAACTATGCTCTGAACTCCATGCACGATTGCACCACAATGCTACTCACTCCACACTTCACGACAATGGCCTGTGCTAAACTACACTTGCTACTTTGAGTACAATCATGCTATCGGTCATGCCACTGGTGCATTATATACATGTACATGTACCCATACATAGATATGTTGGCACATATGAGTCTATAATACACTCACGTCCTTATTCCTTCCTCAGCATTGCCGACTGAAGCCCGTTGCGCGCCCCACTTGTCGTCCCCCTCGCGCCGAAGCCGGACTCGCAGCCGAATGCCTCCACAGGGCAAAGACAGATGAGCGACAGCGAACAACATGCTACAAGCTACTAGTCGTCGGACAAGTAAGTACGTAGCAGCAATTGCCGCTAGCAACTCTGAGAACCAGATTAATGGATCCTGATGACATCATGAAGGGAGACGTATTCAGCCCTCGAGCGCGCGAGAATGAAACAATCTTTTGGTAGAAAGAAGGGATGCGTTGCTACGTAGCAGTTGCAAACTGAAGATAGTCAGTTGACAGTCACAACTCGCAACATGAACATGGCGTACAAAGGAGTGTCCGTGTTGGTGCGGGGTCACAACACGTGAATGCGTGCCTCCCGCACCTTCCTGGCTACCACCCTCTTCCTCGGAGGAATCGCCGGGCTCCACGTCGTAGCCTGAGCAGCAGGTAGAGGCTGCTAGAAGCAGCGGCAGTGGTTGTAGCAGCAAGAGTAGCAGTGGAAGTGGTACTGCTAGTGGTAGTAGTAGCAGTAGTAGTAGTAGTAGTAGTAGTAGTAGTAGCAGTAGCAGGCAGTAGCAGTAGCAGTAGCAGTAGCAGTAGCAGTAGCAGTAGCAGTAGCAGTAGCAGTAGCAGGCAGCAGCAGTAGCAGTAGCAGTAGCAGTGGCAGTAGCAGTAGCAGTAGCAGTAGCAGGCAGCAGCAGTAGTAGTAGCAGTAGCAGTGGCA